TATCACTGTCCCAGTAGATCCCGAAAATAACAGTAAAATAAGTACAAAAATGCATTACATTTATGGGGTTATATTAATGTATCACTGAAGGGAACTGTCTACAGAAAAGTTTCGATGGCAATGGCATTTTCTTCTCCGTATAAAGCGCAGCTCTGCTTTGTTTACAGCGGTAAACAAGGGAAACGCTATATTGCAGTCGGTTCGGTTCATAAGCAGTGGTTCATTAGGCTACTTTAACACTGTTGCCGCGGGTTGTTGTTCATGTCCACGGGTTGAAGCGACCCCAATAACGTGATATTTAGCCCCTGGAATGTGAATTTTACTGGAAGATCCCCGCCGAAAAACATGTATTTTACCCCAGGAATGCGATTTTTACAGGGGAACCCCCCTCGAAACCTGATTGGACTAGTTTTATTGAAAACCTGGCAACCCTGTTCATAGGCGCCACCTGCTGTCAGAGAGAGAGTCTCATTCAGACCTGCTGTTTTTGTTTCGTGCAGATGTTTTATGTAGCAAATAAATAAATAACACCTAAAGTCGGACCATTCTGTTTTTGTTTTAAATCCTGAAATTAATCTAAATCAAATCAAAAACAACTGCCAGTGCAGATCATGATTTAAATACTTCTATTTAGCTTCTGTTTATTTTCATTTTATCTCCAGTAATTTTAGTGCTTCAACTTAAACTTCAGTTTGCATTTTTCAAGTTGTCATGTAACATTTATACTTTTTTTTCCCCAGAGTAATTTAAATTATGGAAACAATTAAAATTAACAGTTCAATTTTAGTTAACAATAACAACACTGATTTGAATGCCCATTGTTACAATAGTCTATATATCTCTCAATCCTTGCAATTATAATTTAATAATTATACTAGTATAATTATACTTAGGCAGATACTAGGCAGATTTTTTTTACCCAATTTCCAATCAGAATCATCATTTACATTACAGTGTAAGCGACAAAAAGGTGATATTTTAGCAAAAATAGTCACTACCAAAATAGACTTGTTTTGAGTTGCCATATAATTCCACTGTTGTATATTAGTGCAAAAAAAAAAAAAATTCAGTGTGGGCACTGCACTGGTTTGGCACACTGGTTTAATAAAGTTGTGTTCAACTTTTAACATATCATACAGACGGCTTTAGCTTTGGAGTTAGCGGCACGTCTGGAACAACAGGATGACTTGACACTCACCGGCCCAGTCCGGCCACACAATGCACAGCCACACAGCAGCCTGGATCCTCACAGAACTTATTCTTCAGCAGACTGAGCCAGTCATCCACGATCTTGGTTGGAGGAGGTGCGCCGTCATCGAAAGGCCAATCCTGAGGGAGAGAAACAGGAGGATGAGTTCACATCTATTATCGCTACAGATTACAATGTGTCTGTACATTACTATATTTCAAATTGAAAGGGAAACACTCGTATAGAGAGACACAAAATACTAGCAGATAAGATAAAAGGCAAATTAAAGGGAAATAAATGACTCCAGTCACCACCAGCAGATGGTGCTCTATAAAGCTTCAGCGTTATGCATCATCTCAGATTCACAGCAGCCTTTGATGATTCCTGTGTGATTTTCACAAGCTCTGCAACAGCAAACATGGCACTCATCCTGTCAACTCTACCGGTTCAATCAGATCTGTCACGAACAGCTCGATTTAACACCATGTGCAAGAGCTGAATCATCTGAAATGTTGAATTATGTAACATGCAAACGGGCAATGATCACATCTTATTCAATAAGCTGTCTCAAAATCTTTAGGTACTTAAAAGGGATGGTTCACACAAAAATGAATACAATTATAATGTTCTTCTGTTCTTCTGTGTGACTTTCTTCTGTGGAACACAAAAGGTGATATTTTGAAGAATGTTTCTACTGTTTTTGATTAAGTCTGCATTGACTTTTTCCTCTGTTCAGGCTTTCTGTGTCTTCCTTGTGACCACGCAGTGCAATGCCTTGTTTCGCACAGAAAAGCTAAATGTCAATGATAACTTGACATGTGCCCGGTTTCTTTCAATCAGGGGTGTGTTTCCCAAAAGCAACTATGGTCGTTACCAATAGACTGTAGAGCAGTGGTCGCCAACCCGTCGATCTTTATCACCGTCCCAGTAGATCCCGAAAATAACAGTAAAATAAGTACAAAAATGCATTACATTTATGGGGTTATATTAATGTATCACTGAAGGGAACTGTCTACAGAAAAGTTTCGATGGCAATGGCATTTTCTTCTCCGTATAAAGCGCAGCTCTGCTTTGTTTACAGCGGTAAACAAGGGAAACGCTATATTGCAGTCGGTTCGGTTCATAAGCAGTGGTTCATTAGGCTACTTTAACACTGTTGCCGCGGGTTGTTGTTCATGTCCACGGGTTGAAGCGACCCCAATAACGTGATATTTAGCCCCTGGAATGTGAATTTTACTGGAAGATCCCCGCCGAAAAACATGTATTTTACCCCAGGAATGCGATTTTTACAGGGGAACCCCCCTCGAAACCTGATTGGACTAGTTTTATTGAAAACCTGGCAACCCTGTTCATAGGCGCCACCTGCTGTCAGAGAGAGAGTCTCATTCAGACCTGCTGTTTTTGTTTCGTGCAGATGTTTTATGTAGCAAATAAATAAATAACACCTAAAGTCGGACCATTCTGTTTTTGTTTTAAATCCTGAAATTAATCTAAATCAAATCAAAAACAACTGCCAGTGCAGATCATGATTAAAATGCAGTGGTTGCCTCTAATTTCAAATGGCTAGATATTTTAGTTTAAAGCCAGTTTGTTTGTTATAAAGCAAATAGCCAATAAATAAATTTGCTTAAAAATCAGTATCAGAATCCAGTTTGCTAGTTAAAAAAAAAAGAAAAAAGAAAGAAAGAAAAAGGAAATCTGAATTCTGAATCAGCTATGATCGGCGCATCACTAATTAAAATACTAAGTAAAATGCCTCAAATTTGAAGTACAATCTGGGATGTCTCTTTCTATCAATAGGTAGATCTTGTCTTTCATAAAGGCAGAGGTCAGGGATCTTGGGCCTAAAAAGGTTGGTGACCACTGCTCTACACGCTTCAGAGAAACATTTTTGGTTTTGCTAAATGCTTCAGCAGATCAGAACAAACAATCAGTCCAGGCACAATCTGACTCGCATGCAGATATTAAAGTTTTTTTCTTTACACAGGCAGCTTTTCATGGAAGACTGAATCTGAATGTGCTGGGTCAAAATACACTGACAAACAGATCATGGTGTTTTGCATCGCTGCTTTCTCAGAAAAGGGGACATTTATAGGGAGTGAGTTGAGGAGACCATTTTCTACGAGGACCGTCTATGAGAATCTCCTGGTTTAAAAATAACATTTTAATCCACTAAGAGGTTAATAGGCCCCTCCTTGTCTGGTATGTCAACAGTAGGCTATTAATTCCAAGAGTCCATTCCAAGATGGAAGTGCTCTGTACTCTTGCCAGGGCACACCAACTCCAGAACCAGCAGCGTGGGGCCTAATTGTGGAAAATGCCCTGGCATTTTCCTCGAATCGCATACTTGCTATTCCTCCAGCAATTCGAGCTTCTGCTTACAAGAGAGCATGAGAGGTTAGAGGCACCTGTTTACTGTCAACCAACACTTCAGTTTCTTTACTTCCTTTAAAGGGGTTCTTGTTTTTTAAACTTGAACTTCGGAGAATGAAATCCTGACATAAGCCACCCAAATGTCAACAAATTCGCTCACTGATCGGTTTTCTCATCAAAATGAAACATTGTTTCATGAACTTACAAGAATTTAAGTTTTTATTTCAGTGCGATTTATACTTTTTGGTTTGTTTTAAACAGTGTATCTAGAATTTTACCATCTTATGCTTGTTCTTTGAGACAAATGGGATCTGAAATCCACAGGTTAATCATAAACTGAAATAACACCACGCAACCTATCGAGTTCACTGAACTTTTCTGATCCAACGGCGTAAAAATGGGGAGGATGACCATTTAAATCCATCTGGAGTTGAGTGAAATACAGAGGAAATCCCATTCCATGTTCTGACCCCCTGCAAAGCAGTTGCCTCATCTCCTCTTATGAAGAGCAGAAGTGATCAGTTTATATAACCAGAAAAAAATAAATAAAAAAAAATAAAAAAATTTAAAACACACACACACACACACACACACACACACACACACACACACACACACACACACACACACACACACACACATGTTATAAAGAGTGAGAGGGCGGGGGGGGGGGGGGGGGGAACTTACAAGACAATCTTCAAAACACTTTGTGCTCCGCTAAGAAAAAAGTCAGAGGTCTGAAAGAACATGAGGGTGGGTAAGCATACATTTTAAATGGAAAACTTCTCGTGTTCTTTACAATTTTAGGACTTGATCTATGATTGGTCATCATACGCTCTACACCAGTGGTCGCCAACCCGTCGATCGCGATCACCGTCCCAGTAGATCCCCCCAAAAAACAATAAAATAAGTACAAAAATGCATTACATTTATGGGGTTATATTAATGTATCACTGAAGGGAACTGTCTACAGAAAAGTTTCGATGGCAATGGCATTTTCTTCTCCGTATAAAGCGCAGCTCTGCTTTGTTTACAGCGGTAAACAAGGGAAACGCTATATTGCAGTCGGTTCGGTTCATAAGCAGTGGTTCATTAGGCTACTTTAACACTGTTGCCGCGGGTTGTTGTTCATGTCCACGGGTTGAAGCGACCCCAATAACGTGATATTTAGCCCCTGGAATGTGAATTTTACTGGAAGATCCCCGCCGAAAAACATGTATTTTACCCCAGGAATGCGATTTTTACAGGGGAACCCCCCTCGAAACCTGATTGGACTAGTTTTATTGAAAACCTGGCAACCCTGTTCATAGGCGCCACCTGCTGTCAGAGAGAGAGTCTCATTCAGACCTGCTGTTTTTGTTTCGTGCAGATGTTTTATGTAGCAAATAAATAAATAACACCTAAAGTCGGACCATTCTGTTTTTGTTTTAAATCCTGAAATTAATCTAAATCAAATCAAAAACAACTGCCAGTGCAGATCATGATTAAAATGCAGTGGTTGCCTCTAATTTCAAATGGCTAGATATTTTAGTTTAAAGCCAGTTTGTTTGTTATAAAGCAAATAGCCAATAAATAAATTTGCTTAAAAATCAGTATCAGAATCCAGTTTGCTAGTTAAAAAAAAAAGAAAAAAGAAAGAAAGAAAAAGGAAATCTGAATTCTGAATCAGCTATGATCGGCGCATCACTAATTAAAATACTAAGTAAAATGCCTCAAATTTGAAGTACAATCTGGGATGTCTCTTTCTATCAATAGGTAGATCTTGTCTTTCATAAAGGCAGAGGTCAGGGATCTTGGGCCTAAAAAGGTTGGTGACCACTGCTCTACACGCTTCAGAGAAACATTTTTGGTTTTGCTAAATGCTTCAGCAGATCAGAACAAACAATCAGTCCAGGCACAATCTGACTCGCATGCAGATATTAAAGTTTTTTTCTTTACACAGGCAGCTTTTCATGGAAGACTGAATCTGAATGTGCTGGGTCAAAATACACTGACAAACAGATCATGGTGTTTTGCATCGCTGCTTTCTCAGAAAAGGGGACATTTATAGGGAGTGAGTTGAGGAGACCATTTTCTACGAGGACCGTCTATGAGAATCTCCTGGTTTAAAAATAACATTTTAATCCACTAAGAGGTTAATAGGCCCCTCCTTGTCTGGTATGTCAACAGTAGGCTATTAATTCCAAGAGTCCATTCCAAGATGGAAGTGCTCTGTACTCTTGCCAGGGCACACCAACTCCAGAACCAGCAGCGTGGGGCCTAATTGTGGAAAATGCCCTGGCATTTTCCTCGAATCGCATACTTGCTATTCCTCCAGCAATTCGAGCTTCTGCTTACAAGAGAGCATGAGAGGTTAGAGGCACCTGTTTACTGTCAACCAACACTTCAGTTTCTTTACTTCCTTTAAAGGGGTTCTTGTTTTTTAAACTTGAACTTCGGAGAATGAAATCCTGACATAAGCCACCCAAATGTCAACAAATTCGCTCACTGATCGGTTTTCTCATCAAAATGAAACATTGTTTCATGAACTTACAAGAATTTAAGTTTTTATTTCAGTGCGATTTATACTTTTTGGTTTGTTTTAAACAGTGTATCTAGAATTTTACCATCTTATGCTTGTTCTTTGAGACAAATGGGATCTGAAATCCACAGGTTAATCATAAACTGAAATAACACCACGCAACCTATCGAGTTCACTGAACTTTTCTGATCCAACGGCGTAAAAATGGGGAGGATGACCATTTAAATCCATCTGGAGTTGAGTGAA